ATGCGGGGCTCGATCCCAGGACCCCAGGATCATGACCTGAGCCGAAGGCAGGCACTTAATGACTGAGCCACCCAGGCACCCCACAACATTTCTTTCTTTCTGTGTGGTGGTTCATAGATGGACTACATCATTGGAAAGATAATTTAGTTTATATTTTTTGGAAGTTAGCATGTACATAGGTTTATAATGTTTAAAGAAATTTTTTAATGTAGGGCAATTTAAGGAGTGTTCTCTTTGTACTGTATTTGGAAGCATTTGCTAATAAAGGAGAGTGTTCGGGTGCCTGGCTGGCTTAGTTGGTAGAGTATGTGACTCTTGATCTTGGGGTGATGAGTTTGAGCCCCATGTTGGGTGTAGAGATTATTTTAAAATAAATAAACCCCTCATTTAAAAAAAAAAAGAATGTATCTCAGAGGGCTCTCTCTGCTGCTTAACTCTAGGAACTTAGGCCTAAACCAGTTTCTGTTTTCCTTTGCTTTCTTGGCTGTAGGCCCCAGAAAGTCCAGCCCTCTTTTCTCTCTGCTTGGTATTTGCAGGCTGACTCTGGAGTAGGACACATCTTTCCAATTCCTCATTTTTTCCCTGTTGTTAAGGCTTGTTCACTAATGGCCACGGGGATGGTAATACCAGCTTACCAAGCTTCTGCCTAGTCCTGGAATGAATCCTGCTGGGCATTTCTTCATTGTGTTTGTAAAACAGTTCAATGAATTCCTAACCTAAGCTCTTAAATAGGCAACTAAGATTTGTACTTAGGAAACAGTAGCATGGGAGATGAGTGTTCTGATGTAGAATATAACTGGAAGCTTACATTAAGGAAATATTCTTTTGTGGCTTATAGAAACTAGACTGTTTACTTTTAGTCACCATGTGCACCTGTAGTTGTCAATGATTCATTCTTTCTTTCTTTTCTTTTTTTTTTTAGGACTGTGAAGATCCCAATCCTCTAATTCGGGCCTTAGCAGTCAGGACCATGGGGTGCATCCGGGTGGACAAGATTACAGAATATCTCTGTGAGCCTCTCCGCAAGTGCTTGAAGGATGAAGATCCCTATGTTCGGAAAACAGCAGCAGTCTGTGTGGCAAAACTCCATGATATCAATGCCCAAATGGTAGAAGATCAGGGATTTCTGGATTCTCTGCGGGATCTCATAGCAGATTCAAATCCAATGGTAATAAGCTTCTGCTTTTATAAAGAGAGCAGTACTTACAATGGATTCCTTTAAAAAGCATGTTTAAAACAAATGTTTGGGGCATTGAAACATAGGTTAGCTATGAGAAACATGAATTCTGTGTGTTCTCACACAGTAGATGTTTTCTGAAATGAAAACCAAGTACTAAAATACAAGGGTCTTAAAGCAAACCTTTGTATCATACCTACCCCTGTATTTGCTCAGAAACTGGTTCTTTCATCATTTTTTAAGAGGGTTTTACCTTAAATTTATATCAGTTTTTAAAAGATTATTTCTTTAGATGTTTGTGGTCTTTTCTGGTAGTGTGGGAATAGAAACCAAGTTATATATATTGCCTGATTATTGTAATGCATTCTTCTTCAGGAAAATTCTAGGACAAAATTCTTTTTGCCAACTTACGTTCTAAATGTTTGGCAGCTAGAACATAATACCGTAAAGTTTGGGGGCCTTTTATTTCTCTTATTAATATTTTTACTTTTGTCCATATAATGAAGGGGAGAAAGTGGTATGTTGACTCTGCTAGTAACTGGAGCTCATTTGAATGGAGTGATTGATCACTAGGTACCATTATTGAGAAGATGGAGGAGTGTGGCCACTTTTTCTCCCCTTTTTGCCTAATGCATTGTTTACTTAGAGGTAAATAACTTTGAGTTAATCAGTGGATCACCTCTGAATACTTTCTTTGTTGAACTTTTTGAAATAGAGTTGGAATTTGCCTTGAAATAGACATTGTCTCACTTGCGAATCATGTGCTCAGATCTCTGCTTTGATATTTCATTTGGTTCATCTTATTCTAAGTAGCCTTGGCTTCTGTTTATTATCCTTCAAGTTTAGTATCAAGGTCAAAGGATGAAGCAAGCCACATTTTTTTTTTAAGGTGCTATCATACTACCATCAGGAATCTTACAGCTTACTTTTTAGGCACAGAAACTGGTGTGGGTGTGTATGTGCTGAAACCATGACTTCTTATAGGTATCACCACCAGTATTAGAAGATTCAACCTTTCCTTTTTTTTTCTTCCAGTAGGACCGTGTGGCACCTTTTTTTTTTTAATTCCATAAAGAAAGAAAGTTATAAGGCATTAGTATCTATTTTATAGAATGTTTAACTGGTCCCAAGTTGTGTTTTGGTGTTGCTTTTGAGTCACTGTTACCCTGAGCACCTGTCTTTGAAATTTTCTACTTAAGGACAAATGAGAAGATTAGAATTTGGGCTCCATGCTCCAGGTTTCAGGCTTCCAGGTGAATGGGATATCATGCACTCAGATACTCAGTGGGGCTAAGAATGTGGAGTTAGAGGTGAAAATGAGTTCTAACTCATAGGTAATTCCAGTTTGGGGAGAAAAAGGCATTTTTATACCAATGTAAATTCTTCAAAATAGAACCTGTAAAATTAGATGGTCAGGGATAGGGGCTATCTGATGGTTTCGTAAAGAGTTTTTTTGTTTTGTTGTTTGTTGTACCCAAGCGCTTAGATTTTTTTCCAGATCAGTTGAGAGGGTGACACGATCTGGAACAAGCGTAATTTGACTTATTTTAAGTTTTCATTGTGGAGGAGGGGCTGGTTTTTGTCCAGCCCACCATACTCTCAAGTAATATATGTAATTATACATATTTATTTATACTTTTTATTGGAATTTTCAAACATATTCAAAATTAGAGTTACTGAATGAAAACAGTAGATAAATAAAATGAACCCATTTACTATCACCAGATTCAATCATTATCAACACATGCCAGTCTTGTTTTTAGCTGTTTTCTCCCACGCCATACCTACATATACGGAATTTAAACAGGCAATACGTCAGTGGGTCTCTTTGAATGTCAAATAACATTATAATAAACTATAATGCTCTTAAAATTTTTTTTTTTAAAGATATTTTTATTTATTTGACAGAGACACAGCAAGAGAGGGAACACAAGCAGGGGGAGTGGGAGAGAGAGAAGCAGGCTTCCCACGGAGCAGGGAGCCCGAAGTGGGGCTCGATCCCAGGACCCTGGGATCACGACCTGAGCTGAAGGCAGATGCTTAACAGCTGAGCCACCCAGGCGCCCTGGTCTTAAAATTTCTTAGCCTGTTTTTACACAACAAATCAGGAGGTGATTTGGAGGGACTTTCACAGTTATCTTTGAGAAAACTTTTAGAGAAAATTTAAGGTTAATTGGTAGATTTTGAGAAACTGTTTCAGGAATGACTGTTGTTTTACTGTCTTTATTGCCGATTTTCCTAGAGCAGGTACCAGCATTAATTATCTTTGGACCTATTGCCCTCTAAATAGAAAATCTTTCTGTTTCTTGTCAGATTTCTCAGTAGCAGAACTTTTCCCTGATACTGTTCAACTGAGTACTAACAAGGCACACAGGGTGCAAAATTTAAGGGGGTACTCACATTCAGGTGTCAACTCTGTACCTGCACAAGATTGAAAGTGGGGTGCCTCCTTAGATTTGTGCCTTGCTTGCCCTACTCTTATCCTGGACTTACATTCAAATCAGTTTTTTGAACTCTTCATGCTTGTTCTAGCGAAGAACTGAAAAGCTTGGATTAAGATAGCCAGCAGACATACACGCCTACTTTTGATCTTGAACCCATACTTTTCATCTCAAACAATATGTCCTGCTTTTTACCAAAAAGTGTTAGAACTAACATTTAGACCACTGATTTTCCTTTTTTGTCAGCTGGGTCAGATACTGTTGATAGGGAACAGAGGAGTGCATGAATTAAAGTGTAGTAGCTCAAACACCTAAGAAGTTCCTAAGGCTTATGATGACCATGTGTCATTAGGAAAAAGGGAATTTAAATTTAATTGCATTCTTTGCCAGATAGATGCTTTTAGTTACAGTATATTACTTAGTTCTCATATCTTCCCAGTGAAGCAGAGGTTATTCCATATTAGAGATCAAGGTTTTCCCAAAGTCAGACAGCTAGTGGTAATGTAGTCAGGGTTCTAACCTAGTTCTGAGTCCCAATACCCATTACTGGTCACTGCCTTCATGGATGTGTATATACGATAGGATTAAGTGTGTATATTCACACATACACATTTAGAACTGTTTGATTTTCTCAAAATGGTTAAAATTTTGAACATATGAAGGCCTTTAATGATCTGTTTTACTATGGAAATCCTCTCAATCCTCTTACTCTGATGATGGGTAGGAGTCCTCTTTACTGCTCTTGAGGAGTAATTTTGTTCCACTTTTTCAGAAGTTGTTCCACATGGTGGCAGCATTGCACCAGCAAATATTAGAATCTCTTGCAGAACAAACAACCGTTTCCGGGGGTTCTGCCTTAGGAATTTTCTTATGGCTCACTTCAGAAGGGCATCCTAGCTGTGAGAGCACAGAACACCTGCAGAAGTGACTTTGAAATCTGAGAGGAAAATGGTGATCAAGATCTACATACTTTTGGGGTTATGTGGATCTCAGGCTGGTTCTTGGGGTAGTGTACCTTGCTGCCAGTAAGAGAACTTTAGTATGTTTTCATTCCCTTTTGCGGGGGGGGGGGGCAGTTCACACCTCGTTTTCCTGCAGTTATGCCATTTATACCAGTTAGAGCAGTCTTTCAGTGGAATACTATTTGAAAGAGAAAAGATAAACTTTGAAGTAGAAAAAATTCTCTGTTAAATTCTAGCTCAGCTTCCCTGGATTGTTTCCTCTTCTTTTGAATGAGGGAACCATCGTAGACAGGTGTTGGGAGTATTTATTGAGCTGTTGCATAAAAAACCATGTATTCAAGTACTCGGCTTACAGGAGCTCACGAGAGTGATGGCTGCTGATCCTGTAATCATGAAGTAGACACTAGTCTACAATATTAAATTAAAATGCCCCGATTCCTTTGATAGCTGTATAAACTTATATAGTACAGTTTTTTCTGAGAGAATTAGAGCCAAACTTACTTTCAGATGCAGATTTTATTATTTGTTATTTCGAAAGTAAACTTGTATTCAGAATGAGGAACCACTTTGGAGCTTCAGGAAAATAGCTCCTATGATTTCTTCACAGATGTCAGAATTTTTAAAATTTCCACTAAGTGTATGTTTACGAGAAAAAAAAAGTGCTTTTGAGCGATAGTGACTATTCTGTAGCTTTTTCCCTCTGAGGCTTTTGAGGTATTCTGACTTCAGTTAACATGTTCATGCTAGAGTCTGCCACTCCGGAGACTTTCTCAACAGCCCTCACTGAGCCATATTTGCTTTTGGGGTTTGTGAACTCTTCTCCTGAATCCCGTTGGCTTAGGGACTTTATCCCTTTGATCTCTGTCTTCCAAGCCTTCTCAGTTCTGCTTCCATCACTCAGAGCTGCCCCCAGGAAGCCCTCTTGCACTGCTCTGCACCTGTCTGCCGAAGCACAAAGTACTAAATAAGTAAAAAACCTGTTTCTGTTTGCTGAGTGTTCTGGACAAGGAGTATGTTCTCAGAATTGCCTCAGCTTGACCCACAATAGCCTTTAGCAAAGGTTCTAGTTAAAACCGCCAGCTTCTTTTGATTGGAACTTACTCTAGAAAGCTGTTTTATGAAAAATAACCTCTTCTCAGAAAAAGTATATACTTTAACTGTGTGCTAGCCAGCTGTGGGTTTGTAACCCTCCTGGGAGCTTCCCTGGTGTAATCTGAAACCAGCCCCTTTTATGCGGAGGGCAGAGAGAGACCAAAGAAAGAAGCAGGCTACTCCAGGTTGGTAGGTGGCAGTTCTAATAAGCAAAGAGAGCTTACATACAAGGCTTGTTTTGGGCAAAAGCAAGACCGCATGGATCCCCACCACCTGCCTGCCAAATCTTAAAAGTTTATAAAGCAGTCTTCACTGGGTTCAGTCACATATACCAGGTGAAAGACAAGCAAAACCCCATTCCAAGGACAGGCGTAGGATGAGAAGCCTCCAAGGCAAGGGCCGGGTTCCAGCTCACAAGTCTGTTGGCAGTCACATCTTTTCGGTGACCATCCCCAGCACCAGCATGTAGAAGCAGCGTGGTATCATGGCAGTCGTT